CTCATTTTGGGGATATGATTTTTTACTACCATTCTTTGCAAAATTTGGAAAAAAGTAGAATTTTAAAAGATGGTACAGTCTTAAAATCAATTGAAATAGATCTCAAGTCAATTTTCATGAAAATATGAAAAATTTTTGGTCCATACAGGCAATTATAATGCCATTGTGTCTGTCTGTATGTGTAAAATGATTAGAATTTATAGATCCAACAAGCAATTGAGTACCAAGTGTAATTTTTTCCATTAATAATATGTATTCAATGTCTTATATGCACAATGACACTATAATAAACATTTAGATAGTTGATTTATATTTAAACCATTGTGTAAGAAAATCACTTCAATAGAAAAGTGACAATAGGAGTTTTATAATAGGTTTATAAAATTAGAACCAGATCCATAAAAGTATGGGCCTTCCTTAAATGAGAAAAACAATATAATTATATATGGGTTATACTGAATTTTACATAGTGAACCAACAGCAAGGCCATGTTATCATGTTGATTTTAAAGCATACCCAGGATGTGTTTTTCAAGTTAGGTTTTTTTTTTGATACCTTGGAGCAAAGGCCTTTAGATTGCTTAGAAAAAAAATGAGGTGTTAAAAAAAAATAAAGGTATCTTTTTAAGGACAGATGATACAAACAATTTTTGTCTCGCCTGCGACGAATGTCGCGAAGCGAGACATAGCGACCATAGATTCCGTCGTCGTCGTCGTCGTCGGCGTCCAACTTTTGGTTAACCCAAATGTCAAAGTTTTATAAACTGCAATAACTTTCTCAAATTTTATTCAGTCTTCTTGAAATTTGGACACAATATTCAGTATGGATAAAAATTTATATCCCAAGTATGATTTTGAAAAAAAAAATTCAAATTTTTCCGTATTTTTTCCTTAAGTTGGACTTAGTTTTTTCATGATAATTTATGGTGAAGACCTATATTCCAGCAACTATAAGTTATAGGGATATGATAATTAGTCAGTGGATACATCATGGGTAACCACAAACGTCAGTACCAGAATTAGGTCATCTTGACCTACATTTTTCTGCATGAGTGACTTTGGTTAAATTTTTGGTGGAGGTCCATATCTCAGCATCTATAACTTATAATGGCATGATGATTTGTCATTGTACAGGTTATAAGTAACCAACAACATCAGTACCAGAATTAGGTCATTTTGACCTACATTTTTCTGCATGAATGACTTTGGTTAAATTGATAATGGAGGTTCATATTTCAGCAACTATAACTTATAGTGGCATGATAGTTAGTCAGTGGATACATCATGGGTAACCACAAACGCCTGTACCAGAATTAGGTCATCTTGACCTACATTTTTCCGCATGAGTGACTTTGCATAAATTTATGGTGGAGGTCCATATCTCAGCAACTATAACTTATAGTGGCATGATAATTTGTCAGTGGATACATCATGGGTAACCACAAACGCCTGTACCAGAATTAGGTCATCTTGACCTACATTTTTCTGCATGAGTGACTTTGCATAAATTTATGGTGGAGGTCCATATCTCAGCAACTATAACTTATAGTGGCATGATAATTTGTCAGTCTACACATCATGGGTAACCAACAATATCAGTACCATAATTAGGTAATCTTCACCTACATTTTCTGCATGAATGACTTGATACATATACAGTGGATTTGATTTCAAAATGCAAGTTCAAATTATTGCGACTCATAACACGTTGCAATATTCGCAATAATAAAAACATCACAATAATTTGTGAATTTACAGGGTATATGTATATATATATAAATGCCAATATAATCGCCAAGGGATTAGATATTAAGTCAGCTGTTCCATTTCTTTATTATTGTATTTTTGAGTTATTCCTTCTGAAATGTCAATAAATGCTTCAGTTTATCAGACAATCATTTCTTACTAACCACAGCGACAGCAAGACACAGGGTTGCGGGCAACCCTTACGTACTTTTTTCTTTTGAAGAGACTTAATAACATGTCACAAGTTTAGAAAAGTGGATAATTCTTTAAAAAAATTATCCTAAGAACTGGAAAATGAAATAGACTTGGAAAATATTAGTAATATATCAATTAAAAAAACAAAAAGACAAATCACACTAAGTAAAGTTTTACAGGTGAAAACATATTTCAGAATATGTTATCTTGGTGCTAAAAGTGCAATAAACCTTAGAAAAATATACCAAGCCAGGTGATTTCTAGGAAGAAAAACAAAATGACAAAAATTCATCAATATCATATATATAGGCTAATTTTTACCATTTATCTTTTCCTGATAAAATTCATCTGGCTTGGTATACTTTTCTAAAGATTATATTACACTTTTAGCACCAATATAACATATTCTGAAATTTATTTTCATCTGTAAACCTTTACTGAGTGTGTTATATCCATATTTGTAATTTTATTGAAATATTACTAATATTTTCCCAGTCTATCTCATTTTCAAGATTTTTGGAGAAAAAATTCTAAGAATTATCCACTTTTCTAAACTAGAGACATGATATTAGTCTCCTCCAAAAAAAAATTTGTTTGTATCATCTGTCCTTAACACACAATTTTCTTAAGCGATCCAAAGGCCTGTGCCTTGGAGGATAGGATATTTCAAAATATGGAGTACTATGAATTTGTGTGAAAGTAGGAATATACCAAGTTTCTCTGAATATTTTTATGAATAACTGCAGGGCCAAGATAAGTCATGTAATTGTTGTGGCCCATGGGCCTGTTAATGATTCTCACAATATTTCAATCAATGGTAGATACCGTCAATGATTTAATTGAGTAATTAGTTAATTGTTCACATCCGTACTATAGAGTAATCACAGCACACCAACTTTTGGTTAACCCAAATGTCAAAGTTTTATAAACTGCAATAACTTTCTCAAATTTTATTCAGTCTTCTTGAAATTTGGACACAATATTCAGTATGGATAAAAATTTATATCCCAAGTATGATTTTGAAAAAAAAAATTCAAATTTTTCCGTATTTTTTCCTTAAGTTGGACTTAGTTTTTTCATGATAATTTATGGTGAAGACCTATATTCCAGCAACTATAAGTTATAGGGATATGATAATTAGTCAGTGGATACATCATGGGTAACCACAAACGTCAGTACCAGAATTAGGTCATCTTGACCTACATTTTTCTGCATGAGTGACTTTGGTTAAATTTTTGGTGGAGGTCCATATCTCAGCATCTATAACTTATAATGGCATGATGATTTGTCATTGTACAGGTTATAAGTAACCAACAACATCAGTACCAGAATTAGGTCATTTTGACCTACATTTTTCTGCATGAATGACTTTGGTTAAATTGATAATGGAGGTTCATATTTCAGCAACTATAACTTATAGTGGCATGATAGTTAGTCAGTGGATACATCATGGGTAACCACAAACGCCTGTACCAGAATTAGGTCATCTTGACCTACATTTTTCCGCATGAGTGACTTTGCATAAATTTATGGTGGAGGTCCATATCTCAGCAACTATAACTTATAGTGGCATGATAATTTGTCAGTGGATACATCATGGGTAACCACAAACGCCTGTACCAGAATTAGGTCATCTTGACCTACATTTTTCCGCATGAGTGACTTTGCATAAATTTATGGTGGAGGTCCATATCTCAGCAACTATAACTTATAGTGGCATGATAATTTGTCAGTCTACACATCATGGGTAACCAACAATATCAGTACCATAATTAGGTAATCTTCACCTACATTTTCTGCATGAATGACTTGATACATATACAGTGGATTTGATTTCAAAATGCAAGTTCAAATTATTGCGACTCATAACACGTTGCAATATTCGCAATAATAAAAACATCACAATAATTTGTGAATTTACAGGGTATATGTATATATATATAAATGCCAATATAATCGCCAAGGGATTAGATATTAAGTCAGCTGTTCCATTTCTTTATTATTGTATTTTTGAGTTATTCCTTCTGAAATGTCAATAAATGCTTCAGTTTATCAGACAATCATTTCTTACTAACCACAGCGACAGCAGGCGAGACACAGGGTTGCGGGCAACCCTTACGTACTTTTTTCTTTTGAAGAGACTTAATAACATGTCACAAGTTTAGAAAAGTGGATAATTCTTTAAAAAAATTATCCTAAGAACTGGAAAATGAAATAGACTTGGAAAATATTAGTAATATATCAATTAAAAAAACAAAAAGACAAATCACACTAAGTAAAGTTTTACAGGTGAAAACATATTTCAGAATATGTTATCTTGGTGCTAAAAGTGCAATAAACCTTAGAAAAATATACCAAGCCAGGTGATTTCTAGGAAGAAAAACAAAATGACAAAAATTCATCAATATCATATATATAGGCTAATTTTTACCATTTATCTTTTCCTGATAAAATTCATCTGGCTTGGTATACTTTTCTAAAGATTATATTACACTTTTAGCACCAATATAACATATTCTGAAATTTATTTTCATCTGTAAACCTTTACTGAGTGTGTTATATCCATATTTGTAATTTTATTGAAATATTACTAATATTTTCCCAGTCTATCTCATTTTCAAGATTTTTGGAGAAAAAATTCTAAGAATTATCCACTTTTCTAAACTAGAGACATGATATTAGTCTCCTCCAAAAAAAAATTTGTTTGTATCATCTGTCCTTAACACACAATTTTCTTAAGCGATCCAAAGGCCTGTGCCTTGGAGGATAGGATATTTCAAAATATGGAGTACTATGAATTTGTGTGAAAGTAGGAATATACCAAGTTTCTCTGAATATTTTTATGAATAACTGCAGGGCCAAGATAAGTCATGTAATTGTTGTGGCCCATGGGCCTGTTAATGATTCTCACAATATTTCAATCAATGGTAGATACCGTCAATGATTTAATTGAGTAATTAGTTAATTGTTCACATCCGTACTATAGAGTAATCACAGCACAGCATGCAGTCTATCAAGGAGGTAGATAACATAACTCTTATTTCCTATTTACTTTGACAGGAATTACTTTCCCTGGGGTTCCAAGCTCTGTCATATGACAGTCAAAGTAAGATGACAAGCCTGATTAACCGCCTTTACCAGATTTTGTGTCTGTATCAGAAACATGGCCGAACAAAGGAGGAACTGGAAAACAGGTCAATCTTGTAGTTTTCATACTTCTAGAGTCTTGCCTCAGAGTAATGCTTTATTTATCTCTTAATTAGTATGGCATTTATCTATTGTGTCAGGCCACAAAGGTATAATTAAACCATGCAAGTAAAACAAACATTTAAATAGATTTTTTTGTGATCATTAATTTAAAATTTTTTAAAAGATTTAGACAAGTGAAACTTGATTTTTAAATTTACAGATTTTTTTTTCTCTAAAAATGTTGGGTAGGAATAGAGAAAGAAGAAGAAGTAGTCTTTACTGCATTCTATGTTTCAGAGTGACAGGGAACCTAGGACCTTATTGTCTTTTGAATAATACTAGCCATCAAGCTTAATTATGATATGAAATTTTTTCAAAGATCATAAAACCCATTTGAGATTTTTTGAAAAAGATAAGAATCAAAATAGATAAGACATTGAACTGTGTAAGAAACTAGCAATTTTTTAATTAAAAAGGATACTCTAAAAAAAACCCTAAAAGAATGTAATTTTCAAAAATAGCATCAATATGATCTGGCATTATATACACATATCTTTAAAATATACAAACGCATCGATTTCACTGTATTTGTAAATACATTATGAAAGAAATTCATGTTTAACAAAACTTTGCAGATTGCTACGTGTCAACAGTGAATGTGAAAATTACCAACATGTAATCGCAAGGTTGAAAACAGAAAAGGAGAAACTTGTGAGAGAAATAAGTGTAGAGCAGGAGAAAAGCCGGCAACTGATGGTCAAACACAAGACGTCCACAACAAAACTCAAGTCCGAGAAGGAGGAGGTAAAAAAAAAAAACCCACTAAAGGATGGAAATGTAACTTTAGGTTAGAAAATCATGGTTAAATTAATATTATGTTTTATTCTGATTTTTGATAGGTGAAGAGACTTACAAGTGTTATCAAGGACAGAGATACACAATACAAACATGACTTAAAAAAGAAGGAGAGAGAATGCAATAAATTGAAGGAGAGAATCCATCAGTTACTGGCTGATAAAACGCCTAATCGGAGAGTAGGTAAGAATCAGGGATCAGTATTGCCAAAAATTTCATATCGCGATATATCATGATTTTTTCCCACAGTATCACGATAATATCCTGATATTTTTACAAGCAAATTTTACAATGTATCTGACCTTTGTTACATTTTTTTTTAGGTTTAGATATTGCCTGCTCCTTACACAGTTCTGATGGCAGAAGAAGTACATGGAAAACAACCTCCAACAAGTATGTGGCTTACTGCTAATACAGAGCTCCAAATCAAAAGGACTCATTTACCATCAAAGCATTGTCTGTGCTTATTTTTTTCAGTGTAACATTATATATAAAGATTTTAAGAATATTTTTTTCTATGATCTGTAATCTTTATAAAGTTAACATTAATTTTGACAACTTTCACAATGACCCTTTTAGACAAGATGAAATGTACCAGCAGTTGATCTCAATGTATGAGGAGAAACAGAAGAAACTATTGGTAGAGAACACAGAATTGAGGACCAGTCTAAAACATGTTTACAAAGATGTCAGCAATGCACTGGGCCTTCATGATCACCTTATCACTACAAAGGTTTTTATTTTAGCCATCTTTGTTCTTAATTGTCTTCATACATATACATTTATTTCTGGTCTTTTCTGATTCTGATTTAACCTACATCATAACTTGATTAAAACATTAAAGAAACTTCCTATTGAATATATGTACTTTATTTTTGTTGTGTAGAGTACTCCCTCACAGGATGTGGAGTCAGGTTCCAGTGAGGAAGAGTTCACAACCTACCCCTCAGCTTGTAGTTATAGGACTCAGGACTCAGATGGTAAGTTTTACAACCAATAAATAGCTGTAGGACAATTTACCCATCATTCTCTGGTGTGAAATATGCATACTCTAGCAGTAACATTTATCAAAAGAGTAAACCAAATAATAGAAACGAGCATGTTTTACCGGTTGCAAACAATTATTTCCTAATTCACTTAGATATCCTCTTTGACAAGACCTTAATTTCCAAATAATCTATAATTTTAAACCAAAGACCTTGAAGTTTGACCTTCATTTAAAAAACATTGTCCTTAAAAAAATTTCATAGGACAAGTACACCTAGAGGATAGAAAAAAGTACACCCAGAGGATAGAAAATGGTCCTTTTTTTGGTGCTTTTTAAATATAGAAATATCCAGAACGATTTTTTCTTATCATAGATTTTTAGTGGGTGATTGAAAATCTTGCAAATAATGAAAAGGAGGTAACTTATAGAGCTTCCTGTCCAAATACAACCATTAAGCTTTAGTTCAAAATATGCATTAATATACATGTATTTTCATATATGAAATAAGTGGGAGAGGAAGAAAATTTAATTTCAGGAATTTTTTGGAGGATGGGGTGTTGTCTATCCATGAATTATTATAATCATTTGATATGATTCTATTTTAGGGTACTTTCAAATGCCTTATGACATGATTAAGGAAACATTAGAGACCATGTTCAAAGAAAGATCAAGGAAATTGAAAGAAAGGAGGAAAAGAAAGCTGCCAAGTGAGTGAGAAAATACATGATCTCCCATTGTTTGTAATATTCAATCCAATGAGTTGAGTGCTTTTATCCCTGGACCTTAGGAAGGGGAGAAAAACATGGTTCCTTGTATAAAAAATTAATCTAACCACAATCCATGGGAAATTAATTTTATTAAATGTGTTACACATATCTGTTTCATATTTTACACTATTTTTTATATAATGAAAGAAAATCCACAATATTTGATCAGATTTGTACAAAAACATTTGACATTACAACTGTGGATATGAAAAGGATATCCTATGAACTATATCCTCTCTGTAGAGGCGAAAACTTTTGATATCAAAAAAGTTTTGTAGAATTTCAAGTTTATAATTCCTATATATCATTGAGAGACTAAGCAAGACTTCTTCAAGATCTCTCTGTGAGATGGTTAAGCCTAAGGAAATACATCTGATAAAAGGAAACTGGAAACTAGATTGTCTGTCTTAACTTGAGGTTTATTTCTACAAATGTCTAAAATAAATTTCTGGAGCAGATTTCTTTTCAAGTACTTCTGTGCCCTACATTAATCAGAGATCCATGTAAGATGCTTCTAGTGTGTTTCATTAAATGAGTCCAGGTTTCTATTGCTGCAATATTAGCAAAAGAATGACCAGGTTAAAGTTTTTTGGAGCATGTGTCATTTTCAAGTGACCTTAACCCTATATTGATGAAACTTGCATGGAAAATACATCTCAGGATGTACCTTACCAAGCTTGCTTTGGATGCTGGATCTGAGACCGACATACATTGTCTGAATGAGTGACCTGTTAATGTTCTTGTAGCAGGTTCATTCTAAACTATTTGCATGGATGATATGTTTAAGAATGCACACTACAGGCCTGCTTCGGATGCTGAATTTGACCTATATTTTTCAGATGAGTGAAGAGGTTAGTTTTGGGGGGAATTTCTTTCTAAAGTGACTATAAGCCCTATGTTAACCAGTTTTTCACCTATGATACATTAATTGTTGCACACTACTAGATAATTAGTTTAGTGTGGGACTTTGTCTTACTTAAAATTGAAATGAGCCCTATAATCTCTGAGTAGCTACCATATGCTTAATTAAAATGACAGTTTAGAATATGTTTTTCATTGAGTTTAACAAAATATTAAGCCTAAAAGCATCATATTTTTCCAAGGGGTAGTTATAAAGCAATTCATTTCCCATTGAATACACAATAATTACAAATGGTCTACAATTTTTGTTTAGGATGAGGATTTGATCAGTGCAAGACAAGGAGAGTTTGTTAACACACCTTTGTATTGATAAATGAAGGAGAATACTCTTTCAAAGCAAGGCCGTTTTTGGGATCGCTAGTAGTAATATATTATTTTACACATTGGTTACTTTTCTGGTATATGCTAAATTTTCTTTGCACAGCTGTCTTTCAAAATGTTTTGAATCTTCAGTTATTTTCTGCAACTTTACTCAGGCATACTTACTAAAATCTAGAAAAATAAAGCATTATTAAAAAATTTTCATTAAAGGCCTGGATAAGTGAGAATAGATATGTACCAGCTTGGTGACTGGTCACAGTAATTACTGTATATACACAGCCACAGACGATAACGAAAGTTACTGGACAGGTGATGGCACGTTAATGTCTGTTTAAAAATGGCAAGAATATATTTAAGTTGAGGTTTTTTTAATAAGTTTTTGATTTAAAAAAAATGCACTTTGAAATATGAGAAAATATACATAAAAAAAAACTGAGTATCAATTTAAGCATTCAATATTTAGATGTTTGATTGAGTAACTCATAAACCAGGTACTTGTTGGTATTGATAAAAAATATATGTGTGTGTGTTTGCTTAATTATTTTAGGTCCTAACAAACCTGCCAGATCTTGTCCCCCTAAGCAGTCACCAAACAAGCATTGTGACTTGGAGCAGCTTAATAAGGAAATGGAGACCTTGAAGAAGCAGATTAAGACATACGAAGATCAGATAGAGAAACATAAAAGGGAGAAGGAGAATTATAAAGAGGTCATACAACAACAGGAGGACATGATTCAGGTCCCATTTATTATACATAATGCAAATAAGATTTATAAAAAGATGAAACTTTTCTTCCAAAAGTGGAATCCAGGGTTAGAGTTGGCTAAATATTAGGAGCAAATTTTACAAAATGCATGAAAGACTTTTTAGCATTCATAAAAAAGATACAATTTTTATGAAACTTTGAGGCTTAATGTAGATTCTAAAAGCTTTAAATCAAGGCCCCTGGGGATAGTGGCTGGTAACAATAGGGGATCAAAGTTTAAAATTTAAAAATAAGAAAATAACTGGAAAGGATCATTAATCAGCAAACATTCCCAAAGATTTGTGAATTTATTTTTTGTTCTTCCAAAAATGGGCCCAAGGGTTAGAGTTGGCTAAAAATTAGGAGCAAATTTTACAAAATGTATGAAAGAGTTTTCTTCTCAATACCTGCAAGGCCATGATAGCCATATTGATTATGAAAATTCCCCATATTGTGTGGGGGATCAGAGGCCTCCTAAAGTTAATAAAATATGGTTCTTTTTTTTTTGTTGAAAAATAAAATACGATGAAGAAAGTTACAGAGGTGGAATTAAAATTTAGATTTCCCGGTTGCTTTTTATTAACATGAAAGCCTGTAAAATGATTATGCTAAGAAAAAAAAAATCCTGCAAAAGCAGTGATTTTCTACCCACATAACTAAAAGCAACTTCAATCCTAATAGTACTTCACATTTCTTTCAGTATTTTGATTTCTTTACAGAATTCCATTCAAATGCACAAACACCAGAACTCGACAGAGCATATTTTGAATGACTCCAAGGTTGAAGAGGAACGCGAGAGTCTTTTAGAGCAGAAGAGATTATTTCATGAAGAGAAGAACCACTTCACAGAGGAGAGGAAACAGTTTACAGAGGCAGCCATTAAACTGGGTAAAGAGGTACGAGTTGTCCAGGGAGATAAATGTTAACTCTCTCAAGTTACTCAATTTGTTGTATACTTTATAATGTGTCAGTCCTGTTACAGGCATATCAGACTTTTTATTGGGAATCAGTCTTGTTTTATACAGTGAAAATCAGCAGATATGTAATAATTTTCTCTTAACTATCCATCTGTGTTCTGCTTTAGAGAAGAGCCTTAGAGGAAGAAAAGACTGCCATTTTAAAGAATCAGTTTCTTCAGATATCACCCTTCAGATCTCCCTCAGACAAATCTACACCTCATAAAGGTAGGTTCATCTGAATCAGTACAGCTCATAAAGGTAGGTTCATCTGAATCAGTACAGCTCATAAAGGTAGGTTCATCTGAATCAGTACACTTCATAAAGGTAGGTTCATCTGAATCAGTACACTCCATAAAGGTATTTCTGTTGTTATAAGTTCTGTATTGTTCCATAATGTGTACCTGAACTCTGCAAGCACTGAAATGATGCAGAATTTCCTGTCACACATGGTCTGGTTCATGTGTCTATTCTCAAACATTCAAATAGAAATAAATAAGTGATAAAGAAAAAAAAAGTTAGATTGATTGGTGAATAGATTGCAATCACTAAATTTTTTACCAATATACCACTTTTACGCACTACTGGTATTTTGTACGATTTCAGTGGATTCCATTCGCCTCCTTCCGTCCACCCCCCAGTTTTCACCGGCTTATCCAGGACAGCCAAAGACTCCCTCCACAGTAGAACTTTTCAGATTCCTGGGAATTACCCCAAAGGAGCAATTCTTGTAAGTGGATCATGCATTATAAATATCAGTATTCCTCTGGGTTCTGTTTTACAAAAGATTTTATAACTTAGTTTAAATATTTTAGATCATTCTAACATCACTTTCTTTATATTATTGTGAGATTATGCTTCATATACAGATTAAATTTACTTCTTTTATCAAAATAAGAATAGAATAAAGTGTAAAAGTAGGTTTTGCATTTCCTATCTAAAGATTTCATTGCTGTGAAAACTCTGTATTTTTTTCCTTCCAGACATGACAAAAACTCTTCATTAAGTGACTCCAGTGAACTGAAGAGATCCCACAGTTATGAGTGCCTTAACAGCAACACCACACTGACCACCTCTAACAACAGTGGCGACCTTTCTGTATTCTCTGAGAATAAGTCTGGTGTAGTCAAGAAATCACTATTCCAGCACCTCTCCTGTACACAAAGTAATGATGATCTGGGAATTTAACAGAAATTTGTTGTGTATCGGAGCTGATTATTTGAAATGTGTTCTATTTTTTTATTTGTAATGAACTTTTGTGAGGGCTGTTTATTTTTCATGACTTCAGCAAATGCATAAGGATTGGATCATACAGCCAAATGAAAATATGTGTTGGGTTTATTTTTTCACTCAAGTGAGCTTTTCTGATAATGTTTCGTCCATCTGTCTGTCTGTAAACTTTTAACACTTAAATTTTTTTCAAGAATGTCTAATTTCAACTAAAATTGTTTCACACCACCCAGAAGGGTATTCAAATTTCTTCATATGAAATACATCCCCCTTTTTCAAGGGGAGATTATTAAGAAATACTGTGGAATCATCAATGTTCAATGATTTTGTGGGTCACCCTTATCCATGAATTAACATTGCCTTATACTCAAAATATTTTTTTCATGGAATCTTCTGTATATACGAGTTATCTTCAATTATGTCCCATGAATCAAGAAAATGTTGTACATTGACCACACAAATAAAAATGATTCCACAGTAGTGATTTAATGATGTGGCCATCTAAAAAATATTACAAAAACCTACGGGGTCAGAAAAGATGAAACTATTGTTTTAGAACATTCTCAGCTTCTTTCCAATCCAGATGGTCAATAGTTTAGACTTTACATTTATGGTTTGTATATGAGACTTTACTTTGTCTTTGACTAATGACTATTGTGGACGATGATGGCCTTTTTATTTTGATATTAAGTGTTATCACTTTTGATGTAAATTTATGTATTGGTCGTCGATTCTGTGTGGAATGCATGGAATTTCACTATTTGCTACAAAGGGTTGGGGATTGTCAGAGTTTTAAAGGGCACTTTATTAAGATGACTGACATAATATGTTACAGGTGTATTGGCATATTTATATATACAATTGTACTTGTATGTTCAGCTAAGATTTTTAACATTTTCTTCTCAAAAATTACTGTACCTACTTCAAACAAACTTGAAATATTCTTGAGTAAGGGGGTGAGGGATTAAATTATTTAAATTTATCAATGAAAAAATGAGTGTTGTAATGTGAGTCAAACAGCAATGTAAATTTCATTGAATAATGAATATTGATATACATGTACAGCAAAATCATCTTCTGATTTTAACTTTTTAGATATTTACATTTCCAATGTCTTTGAGATAAAATTACAAATTTTAAAAATACTTTTTTCTACATAAATCAGCTGGTTCATCAATAGGCATGGTTTAAAAAAATTATGTGCAGGGCAGGACAAATAAGACAGAAGCAGGGCTTGTAGCATGTTGATTTGCGGAATCAAGAGCATGTAAATATACGGAATAACCTTCGGCATTTATGCAAATGATCACACAAGTCACTCAATTGATCACATCATGAAACCAAAAAATTAGAATTAAACAGTTATTCATTAAATTAGTTGAGGGTCAATAGGGGTCTCATTACATGTTCACTGGGCAGAGAGAAAAAAGTGCAATATATGTGATAACTGTAGTTAATAGATTTAAGCTTTTGCTTTTTCTTCTTTTTATTTATTCTTTATTAAAACAAGATAGACAATTGCGAAGATATTGGCTGATGTATAAGTAAGTGCTCAGTAGGCATTGCTGTGGTCTGCAGTAGAGGAAATACCTGGGAAATAGAGACTTGGACAAGGAACAAAGTTAAATACTTTTTTCTTTAAATATATATTGCCCTGATATGAATAAATGATTATAATATATTATACCTTTTCCCTTCTTCCAGAGCAAGAATGGAAAATAATGAAAAATAGCCATACCTCAGACTACAGTCAAGGTATCTTAGAATAAAAGATTTTTCCATAATTTTATTGATTGCAGAAGTATAACTTATTCATTGCATTAATTAACAATGATGTGAAAGTTAATAAAAGGCTTTTTTATGCCCCCATAATCAAAGATTATACTGATGTAGTGGTATACCCTATTCATATGTAATAAAAGTATATTCATATGTATACTGATATAAAAGCCATAGAATTAACCTTTACAAAACAAATGCTTATAAGGTTAAGTTTAAGAAAAGTAGGACAAACTACAAGGTCATGTTCAAGAGGTTAAAATGTTGGTACCCAAAGATAGGTCTTTGCACAAGAAATACACATGAAGTATAGAAATCAAATAACGGTATGAAATTGAAGGTTTGAAAAAGAACTCAATAGCAAAAATTGTTTATGCTTTCATGTTTCATATTCCTTGTGATGGGACCATCAATTTTGATCTCTTGTACTTATAGTTTGATTTTTACTTTTGAAATCCTTTAACCTTACCCATAACTTCAAAACATTTTAGAACTTTCATATTTCAAATAGGGACATTCCTTGTGACTAGGCATTTCTTAGGTACCACACTTTGACCCATAAGTTTGATTTACATTTAAAAACTTAACCTTGGCCATTACTGATGTTTTACAATGGCATCTATACATGAGGCAAAAACATCTACATCAATGATATTATCATTATAATTTTATGATAATGGGAAGTATATTCATTTCAGTGTATTAGACTACCTCTATGGAAACATATCAAATAACATATCATGTTGATGAGGATTTTATCGTTAGTGCATTCTCTTGTATTGCATTGGTGCCTTGTTATTTTCAATTTTTATAAAATAATATCTTGTATGTTTTTTAACACTTTTCTTTTTTGAAAAATTAAAAGTTTGTATTTCCAAAATGTTCTCTTTTATTTATTTTCCTAAGTTGGAGGTGATATAGTAACACAGTTTTGTGTTTGTTTGTTTGTGGGTGCATGAGTTAGTGCTTAGCCATGAAGAACTGTAACTCCCTGAAAAAACATTGAAAGACAGGAGAGCTTCAAAGCCACCCACTGAAAAAAGAGTATATTAATTGTATACAAAAAAGTGCAGTTTTTTAGCTTACCTGAGCTGAAGGCTCAAGTGAGCTTTTCTGATCACATTTTGTCCATCGTCCGTCTGCCTGTCTGTAAACTTTTCACATTTTCGACTTCTACTCAAGAACCAATAGGCCAATTTTAACCAAACTTAATACAAAGCATCCTTGGGTAAAGAGGAGTTTAAATTGTAAAAATGAAGGGGAAAGTCCCCTTACAAGGGGAGATAATCAGGAAAAGACAAAAATAGGGTTGGGTCATTAAAATCTTCTTCTCAAGAACCACTGGGCCAGGAAGCTGAAACTTATGTGGAAGCATCCTTGGGTAGTGTAGATATTAAATTGTTAAAATCATGACCCCCGGGGGTAGGTCGGGGCCACAATAGGGAATCCAAGTTTTACATACACGATAGGTATAGCAAAAGGGGAAATCTGGTAAAGAACTGCATCACTCAAGTTACTCTGGTGAGCGATGTGGCCCATGGACCTCTTGTTATTTACTTCTATTTTTCAAACTGCCATCTCAAAATATTACTTACAATCATGTGTTTCTAACTCATTCTTTTACTATTTCCACAACAAAACATCCCTAAAAACCATTGTAAATAGCCCTCATGTGCTTAAAATTGAGACCATTGAAAATTTTTATTTACATGCCATGTTGAGCATGGGATAATTTTGTCCAACATGTTTTGTGCAAATATTAGAGTAGTTTTAAAATAGAGGTCAAAAGAACATTATGAAGTTAAGCTTTTGTACAGTTAAGGAAAGAATTTGGAGAAATTTCATTATTCTAAATCTAAAATTGGTGCGCAATAGATATACGTTTTTTTTAATTCTAAGGCACTGTAGCTCCCTGGTCATCCATCCCAATTTTTTTCAGACCAGCAAGCTACAGATCTACAGCTGGTAAGTGAAATGGAAGTAATGTCATTTGCATCGGAAATGCTGCCTTGATTTCTAAATATGCTCTTTGCTATGCACTCCTTGTTATTGATAGTGTAATCCGTTTGTCTTTATAAGCCGGTTTTATTAAAATATATCATTTTCCACTGATCAGGTCGAAAACGATATATTTAAAAACGGCTTATAGAGACAAAGGGATTACATTATCGATATCAAGAAATGCTTATTACACTACCAAAATAGGAAAAGTGTGTGTCGACCCCAGATTTGAAAAGAAAAAAATGAAGGTTGGGGGGGGGGGGGGTCCAGCCCCCAAGTGCCTGTGGTTTTTCCGTTTGCCGGAAAATGTTACAGAGTACACGGCGGGGTGATCGCTCGACGGAGGAATTAGGCTGCTAACTCCTCCGTGGCACCTGACTCCATTCCTGTTGTTTTTTTTTTGTTTTTTTTTAGAAATCCGTTTTTGCTATTTACTGATTTGTATTGTTTATATATATATATATATATATATATATATATATATATATATATATATATATATATATATATATATATATATATATATATATATATATATATATAATGGACTTTTGAGCGTGAATACTTCAACAAAATATATAATTCTAATAAATCATGAATGTATGCCGACATGCATTGTAATTGTCAATAAAGTGAATTGAATAATTCTTATAAATCATAACAAACTAATCCTCAGAATTCTGATAATTTTATTTACGAATGTTCAAATATAAAATGAAATAAAAATCAACAAACAATGGGTAATACTGGTAGTGGTAATACAACAGTGTCATTATAAATAGTCTATTGTACAATATAATAATGCTTATCGAATCACGGCCCAGTTAACTTGTTCCATTCCTTTCTTCTTTTCAAGACCATGTATTGATCCTGGAAATTTTTAAAAGAAATCTTTAGTAAATTTAACATTCAAAAAAGACAATAGTGACCACAATAATGATAATTAAATATCTATATTTATCTGTATATTATGATTGAGATTAATTAACAGATATATGGAGGGTTACTTAATACTTAATGTCATTTTCAAAACCTAATTTCATTTTTTTTTTTTTCGCATGCAGCAAATGATAGTCATAGAATGCAAATTTAAATGGGCTAACTCGCATTTACATAATCATATATTTATCAAATTTTGTGTGAATTATTTCACAATTCAATCAAAGTTTTGCCAGTTGAAGACGAAAGACCTAAAAACGCATCGGTATATTTAATAGAAGACAGAACTGTCAATGACTGGTCATTTTTTGGTCATGTCATGAAATTTAATCGAAAACATGTGGAAAATGCAAAAATATATAATTGCTACATTACCACTCAATCAAACAGCACAAACGTGTTCGATAACCAATGCGCGTTAATCAAACTGAAATCAAATGTGATTAAGGTTAAGGGTATTCAGGTGAGCATTGTGTCCCACGAACTTTTAAAAACCATTTTTTTAAAAAGGGTTCTAAAATTTGATGATTATTAATTTAGTTTTGTTTGCTAATTTACTTTTGTGTACTACTCCCTGTAAACTTTATCTCATTTCTTAATGTAGAAATGCAGCCTAATAATTATTTATAATGTCTATAAAAGTAAATACTTCCAATAATATAAGAGTCGCCCGCATGGCGCAGTGGTCAGCTCTAGAGTCGCGAAGTAAGGAGTTGACCCTTACGTATCGGGTTCAAATCCCACTGTGGGATGTGGAGACCGGTCCTTCGGATGAAACTGTATATATCGAGTCCCTTTGTCGCAGTAGATGCTAACACAAAAAAAGATCCCTCACTGCTAGCATAGGACAAAATTTACAGCTCTTCACCGGCAAGTGGTGACGTCTCCATATGAGTGAAAAAGTCATGAGAGGGACGTTAATCAAAATACAATCAATCAATTTAATATAGGATATTTATATAAAGGAAAGTCGATGTTAATTTGGTTTTGCATAAGACTGTTAAACAAACACTTAGATTAGTAACCGAAAACAATCCGACTGAACACATATTAAGCACACAGATACTGGTACATCGTATCTCATGCAGACATTCAGAGCTAGTTCAGTTTGTGATGTGAGGCAACCCACATACACACAGGACTACAGTACTTGGCCATAAGTGAGTCATAATTTTATTTTTCCACTATATATTTCATTGAAAAACGCATTTTTCTAAAATATTATCGCAGTGTCATTTGTTGTTTCTTTTTCATGTCTAAAACACCATAAAATGCAGAATTTGATGTAGTTTCTTCACATTATTTCAAAATAGTTTTATCTTTATGCATTACCGTGAAATCACAGGTCAAATGCAAAACAAAAATTTTAAGACTTCAATTTGTTAAGAAATCATAGTAATTTGAGGTTAGAAAATGTTGTCTCTACAATATTTTATAATTTATTCTCAATGGTTTAAGTATCATTTTGTTTATCAATTAAGATAAGAAAATTTGAATAATTCTGCATGTTTCAGTGAAAAAATCATGAAAATTGACCTAAAATTGACTTCACAACAAGTTTTTATAAAAATAGGGTTTTCAATGAAATATGTAGCGTAAAAATGCAATTATGACTCACTTATGGCCAGGTACTGTAGAATCATATCGAGGCAGCAAACGGAGTTAAGTTTATCAACATGTTTCAAAATGTAAGAACTCAAATTCAAACTTGGTTTTGTTACCCCTTAGTCCGTGACGGCGGGTTGTTCTATTGCTGGAAGAACTAGCGAAACAAAGAAGGAATGTGTCGATTTGTTTCCAGCCAATATTTAGTCTTCAGATTTTAAAGAAAGTATATGTGTAACAAGTAACACTCATAGTGATCAAAGACATGCTTAATTTACGTTGGCCTTATTTCTCTGTCGTGGAAAAAAAGTGAAGAAAAAAATCGAAATCAGTATCTCTTACCATCTGGTCTGCCATCTCGGTTTTGTGACACGGACAAACTTCTACTTAGAGGTCGTCTTTGACGGCCTTCTGGTTTCATTAAATGGCCACCGGGTACATCATCAATCTTTATGCTATCTTCATAAGCAATTTGACCTATCATGAAAATAGTATAATTAATCACTAGGCCATATAACCAAATTACCCACTTTGGTCATATATTGAAAAGAACATTCCTTTAAAGATTAAAAAAGACTGGATATAGGCAGTTACCATGAAAATGAAATGGAAACAGTTTCATATAGTCTTTTACCAAGGAAACGGTAGACATTTTGAAAATGTGGGAAGCATAAAAATAGCCCGAAATATCTGACGTCTTCTTGGCCTTTTTAACGATTTTTGATATTTACGTGCCATGAAAAAAATATCAAAATCGTGAAAAAGCCTGGAAAACGTATGATGTTTAGGACAAAAAAAAATGGGTGAATGTAATTATTATGAAGTTTTATAAAGATTGGCCCAAGACATCAGCGAGAACTCTATTGGACTAGCAATAACAATGTATGTATGTCGCCCTGACTTAGTTTATTAGGGACATACATGCAGTTACACATTGCAAACCAATACAGAAACCTACCATCTACAAACACAATACGTCGCCCTCCGGCTTGTAGCACTTCCTTAACGTGTCGCCAAGACCCGCCTGCTCGGCCATGTCTAAGTCTGTTTGAAAAAAGTTTGAAATATAATTTTTTAGATGAAACAGATTGTATTTGAATGATTGGGAGCAAACTTTTAAAAAGGCCTACTTTGGAGGACCGAAGACTGGGAAATGCTTATTGGGAAACTGTTGACTGATTTGCTGGTACGATTTGTGGAAATCATCATATCCGTTGTTTGTGGAATAGCGTAGATGTGGAGGGATAGATTCATCCATCTAAAATTACAAATAAATATCAGTCTTTACGGTCTTTCTATCCATAATCCATCAAATTGCTATTTTGGTGAAGGTTAAAGAAGGTCAAAGGATAAGGTCAAAGATATTGGTTCCCAAAGAAAAGTCTTGTCACAAGAAAGACACTTGTGAAATATGAAAGCCCCAATACCAACCATTCAAAAATGTAAAAATAAAAAAATAAATAAATAAATAAAAAATATGCCTCTGAATAATTATCTTATGATCTTGGCTAAATGTGTTACAGTTGTAATGTTAAGATCCTCTCCAGCGTGAGCCCTTGTAGTGACTTACCGCTGCCAGCTGAGCGGCATCTGGGTTGTAGGGACTAGGCGCGCCATCTGAATTGATCATCATTCTGGATCTTCTACCGTAAACATTTCCAGCACTGTGTTTGGCTGGAAAATCAGGTTGTGAAACATACCCCTCCACCGGACCCATTGATTTCTTTCCTAGCTGCAGCATCCACTGTGACATTAATGCATAGCTCGTCCTAAAAATTTCCAGTGAAATCATTAGTGTTGTGAAACTGGACGATTTTAGTCACCAGTAACTGTTACTCTCTGATCGAGTACCCGGTTACTCGGATGGTTTCTACACCTTACGTCTTTATGTACACCCTTGATGGCGAGAGATGTTCAATAGGAACTGGGATAATTTTAACATTTTTGCAATGTCAGTATTTATCTTTTATGTGATTTTTGGAGACCATATCTTTTTGGAAATGACTGGAATGTCCATGGGTACCAATTGCACCCCGTTATTAGCAGACATATTTTTGTATTCATATGAAGTCAAATTTAATCAAGAACTTATACGTAAGAAGAAGAAATGACAAGCTGCGGCCTTCACCTTGACATTTAGATGTATAGATGACATATTATCAATTCTATTCAAATGTTGACATGATACATCCCAGTGACCTTGAAATAAAAGATACTGCAGAATCTGACACAGTTTGTTTCTTTTCGAATATTTTACTGAAAAATTTTGTTCATGGTAACCTAACAACAACGTCTCGTGATAATCATGATGACTTTAACTTTTCAATCAAACTTCCCTTAATTATGTAGTAATATTCGTTATCTAGCTCTATACTAGTATATATTTCATTCCATTCTTGTTGAGAGGCGTTTGTAAGACCACGAGGACGAGAATCCATTAACAATAGAAAAGTATGGAACCAATGTGGCAGACACAGTCTTGTGCGAGATTGGACAGAAAAAAAATTAAAGTTTCATATTAAATATGCTTTGAAGTGAAAAAGGGCATACTGGAATAAAAATTCGAACTATTGTAAATGATACTGTTATAGGGTGTATTTGTTGGTTAACACTTTTCTTATTTTAAGTTCTTTGTAGGAATCATCAGAACAATTTCATGCAAACTTACCACATAGCATCTTTGGTATGAAGAGGATTCAAGTTTGTTAAAAAAAGAAAAAAATACCTTCTTTAAAGGGGATATTTTTTTTAAAGACAAGAATACCCGGTAATCTCAAATCCATTAGGCTATAGAAGCTCTTGGGATGTGTAGATTCAAATTTGTTCAAATTATAGCCCAAGAGTAGAATGAGCTACAATATGGGGTCAACATATTCCCGATAATACTGATTTGGGAAAAAATCTCGATCTTTTTCTCCCTAAAACAACAAACATCCTCAGAAATTTCAAAGTGCACTAATATGCAGATCATGGTCCCAAGGAGTAGGGTGGGCCACGATAGGAGGGGAAGTTTGATATTCAAGTAGGTATAAATTGTGACCTCTAGATATAGGAAGAGGCCACAACAGAGATTTAAATCTTGAAAAGAAAACAATAAATAAATCTTCCCAAGAACAACTAAAGCGTGATTAATCTTATATGTAATTGCAAACTTTCACCATTCATTTATTTAAACCATCGGTCCCAAATACTAAAGTAGGTTGGCCTACAATAGAAAATCAATGTTTGTTTTGCATAGGAATAAATAGGAAGAAAATCTTTAAAAATGTTAATCTCCTAAAGACTAACAGAGCCATGAATAATCATTATTATGCAAACAATTGCACAAAGTGCAGTCTCAAGTTTGTTTAATTATGCCCCCACTTGATTTTGTTGGGGGGGGGGGGGAGGGGGTCTCAGATTTTTACGGAAAAATGTAATAACAAGAAATACATGCATGACTTTTTAGAATTTTTGTTTGAAAAGGAGCATGGTTGGTTATATTAATATGTAGTATCTATTAGTATATAAGGACCACGATAAAGGATTAGAGTTTTACATGAAAACACATGTCTATAGGCAATGGTTAAAATCTTTTTAAAAAGAGTAGCAGAGTTAATGTTAGTCATATTTTAAATATACGCAAACATCCCTCTTCTTGTGTTGCCTTCAGAGCAGAGCAGCACTTAGGGATCAATTCACCCGTCGTCTATCTGTCTGTCCCTGTTCTGGTGAAGTTCGTACCCGGTACATACTGCATAATGCAATTGACTCCTTTTTTTCTTACAACAACTATTTAATTAGTTGACGATAAGTTAAATTGATCAATGTTGCCATAATGATGTTATAAGTACTCGATCTATCTAGACCAAGATCGGTGGATTTTTTTCTTGTTATAAGAGGATTTAGAAACAAAGGGAAACAATATTGCTTTTTAAACTGAATGAAACTTCAAACATTAAGTTAATTTGAATGAGATCGAGCAGTATATAAGGGTCTATTTTAATATAATACAATAAGTTTGAAGTTATTTTCCCATAAACTTGAAAGAAATGAATACTGAATGAAAACTCATGTCACATCGATATTTAAAAATGTCTACGGTAGAGGCTTCTTGTCATCGTGTCGCTTTGTAAGATCATAATCTTTTTTATTTCCTCTGTGAATTTAAATAATTTAAAACCTATCTGTCTATACGTGTTTTACAATCAATTGATATAGATCCATGCATGCCTAGCTACCGCGTGTAGATCTTACTGCACAGTTTCCCTCGTCCATCTGATCTATCTTAGCAACAGAACTACAATTTGACAATTTGAACAATACTTGTCTGAGATTTTAAACCTATCTCTTTGTACACAGGTAATGAGTAAATTGAATTTTCTAATATAGAAATTAAAAAAAATTAAAAAGACCTACCGAAATCTAGAATCGGGCCTATTTGGCCGATATGTATTTTTCCGAAAGTCCATCGACATTTCCGCGCGTTTTAGTTAATCGTCCTAAACCGTAAGAGGAATTCTTCACATGTCCTCTGTATTTTCACTTAGCGTCTAGAAATCCCTACCAACAGAGTTGGTCGGTGCAGATCAACTGTTTGGAATCTAGCGCATTAGCGATTTGGTCGCGATAAGTATATCACAGTGTATTTTTAAATAACATTATATATTAAGGCGCTTTGTGCCGACGTTATGACACGGATTACTGATTCCTAAGAAGTACAATCAATGCCAAAGTACACATCGAAAAACCAATCATCAGCTTGATTCACAGCATGCAATCCAAATCGACACAAGTCTCACACATACATTCACAAGGGCAACATGCCAGTGGGTGCGTTCACAGTTCTACCATCAGTACCAACTTTCAATATACCAATGGTACAATAATTTGACAATGGTACCAACTGTACCAATAAACCCTGAACGGGTATTGGCATACAAATGTAACAATTTTACCAATGTTACCAATGGGAGTCCAATGGAGACGTTGGTAATACTAAATTATATATTTCTTTGTCTTCTAAGTTATTGGCACATGCCACAATAACAAAAAAATCATCAGATTCATATCCGACAAACAAACCACATTAGGATCAAACTTCTTTAGTTGCCATATCTATGAGTTTTATATAATCCATTTAATGGATCATGTCTAAATCATACTTCAAAATCATGAATATAAGTGTTTGATATGATTTTTATGTGATTTTGGCATGATTTGTTAAAAAGGATTAGAGGAAAAATCGTTTATATCGTTGTAAATCCAGCCTTTCTAGCTTGTTGCCATGTCGATAACTAGCTGTGACGTCATTTACCAACACTAACCACACTCTAGACTGTCTGCAGAAAAATCTACCATTGGCAAAAAACATTGGTACCAGTGGCATGCCAATGGTAATTAATTTTACCAACGGCAACTTTTGTCTACCAACGGCAGAACTGTGAACGCACCCAGTGTTGGATAAACCATTTTGGTGAATATGAAAAACACTATTTTCTTTAACTAGAGCATCCCCTAGTAGTGAGCGTGCAGCAGAAAAACGATCTCCATTTTTAATCTTATACCCCATTCATACGACATGCAGTCATTTTTATTCTTAATGTGCAGGGAAAAGGAAATGACCTTGACCTGACTTTGACTCTAATATAAAACTGTCAAAACTAATCTAACTGGTAGCATCACTTAGTAATTTTGTCTTCTTGATTCTTTGAAAATTTCATTGATTTTTAAATATGTATTGGTGTTGAGCTCTTAAATCTATATGTCATTACTAAACAGACCTTAAAACCAATAGGGATCTTCCTTGGGCCATATGAATTTGTCGTATGAAATTTCATTGTAAAAGCTCAAAGGCTTCTCGAGATATCGCTCAGAAACGAAAGTGTTTAAACAGACAGAATTTGTGAGGTTGACCTTTTGACCTCAAAATCAAAGGGATCTTCTTTAGGGAATAGGGAGTTTTTTTTGTAAAATTATATTGCAAAAGCTTCTCAAGATATCTTGCAGACATAAGTGTTACAGACAGGCAGAAAGGCAGGCGGACAGACTGACGGAAATTAATATTTCCCACTTTCAGTGAAAGCGTTGGCCAATATTGCTTATCCTAGCTTAAATACTCTTCTTTATAGATTTTTAAAGAATTGTTCTGTTTAACCATGTAAAACTTTTATGGCATGTGGCCTCAATCCATAAAAGTTTTACATGGTTAAATAGAACAATGTTAAGTATTTCACAAACCACAGGAGTCTGAAGTTTTTCTCGTCAAAAAATTTCCCGCCCTCAACTAAAAAGTTGAGGGTGGGAATTTTTTTTTTAACGATAAAAACTTCAAACTCCTCTGCACAAGCCCTATAATTTACTAAAGTAGTGAATAATTTTATTATCTTTCCAAATGATGCCGAATTCATTATTATACGTAAATATTTAAAAAAAAAGAGTATTTTTTCGAAAATGTTTAAGAAGTTTGAATAAACATTTTTATTTATTGTATTGGATACTTTGAAATACAGTATGTACATGTAGTATCATATGAATGCTGAAAGTCATAAAACCGGAAAAATCACAAAAATTTCTGTCCAGGACAAGTGTCATTTTTACATTCTAAAACCAACAAATTTAATCCCCCCGTACCACCAGGGCTCTGCCCTGGACCTGCTGGGCGCCCAAGGTGGCCCCTAGACCCCCGGTCACAATAGTTTTGCCTCACTAGAACTTTAGGTCAAGCTACGCCCCTGCCCAGTTAACTATTAACCATTGTTCTTTATTACTTATATTTACATTTGAGACGAATCCATTCCGAGTAAACTGCATTTATTACACGAACAGGCCGTCGTATTGATATGTTGTGACGCGCAATGACCTAGGGGGTCTACAAGTTCTTTGGTTTAAAAGTTCGTGTCGCTCCAACATTTGAATAGTTACAATGGTGTTCAGCAGCCCAGTTTAGGAATTCTGTGTTTATAATGTAAGAACAATGAACCCCACTGAGAATAATCTTACTATTTCATGAGTTTTTGATATATTTGAAGTCAAAAGCGGTGATATCCTCTGTTTTAGTTAGCATAACTTCAAAGGAATTTCGGGTTAAAAAGGTAAGTCTGATTTTAGGCTGTAATTATAGTATTTAATTAAAGCATTCTTCACACCAAAGGAAGATCTATTGAAAATATAATAAATGAAAATATCTATATGTGTCATAACTCAATTCATGAGAGAAAAAAAAGAAAAAAATATATTTTGACCAGGAGTGTATATGGAGGGGGGGGGGGGGGGCGGGAGGGGGGTCCTGTCCACGAGTACCAGTGATTTAAACAAGATATCACCTCGCCGAGCGATTCGGTCGCGCTATGACCTGTGACCCCCTAATAAAGTTCACACAGAATTGAACATATTTTCTATTTTCTCTTCAAAAGGTTCATCTAAGAAAGATATAATTCTAGAGTGCATGTACATATTATACATGTTATATGTAGTGTCGAAAACTTTTATTAGGATTGTTTTAAAGATCAGACGTAACTTCCTTAATAATACAATATTAATGCAAAGCTCAAATCAGCTACAAACAAAATTTAGCATTTTAAAAAGAGAAATTTCACAAAGACGTGTGTGTAAGCATTCGAGAAAAACGCAACGGTACAGTTTTCAAAACTGAAAGAGTGGATACATTTATTCCAGACTGTCTTCTAACTTTACACCCCCACCCCCTATTATTAACATTAAAATTAAATTCAGATCACCGGATGAACCATTTGGGGTCTTTGTCACTCGACGATGCCGATGATTTCTGCAGACTATATAATTATTTATATGCTTCATGGCGCGATGATGAACAACTCGGCAACTTGGGAATTATGAAAGCAAACTATGATTTTATACGGATAATAATGACAGTGGCAAACATGATGGAAAAATATTGAAAATTTTGGTAAAGCTAGGATAAAATTGTTTACAGCATGGTATATAGCTGCCATTGACACAATGATTTTTTTTTTCACTTTTAAATGATCTATAAAACCATCAATTCTGAATTTAAAGCATTTTTCTTACACTTTACTCGTTATTTTATCAATTTTACCATTGACAAATTATTTATCAAACTATCAAATGTATAACATCTCATTTCCCCCCACACATTGTAACGTAACCAAGAAAAGATCGACCGCTCCTGCAGCCAATAATAATTTTATTCAAGAACTTGTGTTTGATGTTTTGATTCAATAAGGTACAATACGATGCGCTCATTTGTGCAAAATACCTGATGATGCGGGGTATTCTACTCAGGCCCGTAACAAGGATTTCAAAAGAATGATGTATAGGTGGCTAAATAACCCACACTATCTGAGTTGTTGGAATTTGCCTGTTTTTAATCGTACAGCTACGAAAGGTGGAGGGGCAGGGTATACAGCATTGAAATGCAAATTTCAGTATAAAAACTACAGCAAAAGACTTGACTCTTTAATCAGAGCCCCTCTTCTCACCCTACCCCACCTCGTATTTTAGGAGCCTTCTATATCACTGGAATTGCATTTATCACAATACATGGTACTTTTATCTTTTGAACATTTTAAAAACAATTGTAAAATCAGGTCGAGACAATTATAACATCGTTTAACAAGGTGGGGGGAGGTTGCAATTAAAATGTATAACAGTTTTGTTTAAAGGTGTTTTGAAATAAACATAGACTTCGGAAGCAAATTGAAAGTGGGGGCTAAACCATCTAAAAAAGGTAAACCCCAATTTTCAATACCTATATTATGTACTGAGTATATATTTGCAAAAAAGTGGGGGCTAAGCCCCCCCCCCCCCCCCCCAGTCCCAACGCCTATGACAAAATTCATATATTGATAAATTTTAATAAGTTTTTTTTTTCTGTTAGAATGTAGAATATCCTACTGTATGTTCAATTAAGATTGCAGCAAATTACAAATCCCAGTAATTTTTGGCATGCTACCGGAAACGCGTTTTTTATTTGCCACGATCAAAAAAAAAAATCTGAAACAAAAATAAATTTTAATAACAATTAATTTATTTTATTCAGATTTGATTTGATATTTATCCATACCAGAGATTATGTATTATTTATTCATAATGTCAGTTGAACATACTTCCTGTGTTCTGAGCTCGTGCAACTCGTGAGCTGTGTTCATATAAAGGCGGGCAGGCCAATTTCAGGTAGGAACTATGCAGACGAAAAAATACATATTAATCATAAAACGTAGGCTTTTTGTGAGTACTTTTGTTATGAATTGTTGATTTGTATGAAATGTATAATTAGAGGCAACTATAATGGGGTTTAACAGTAAAGTTAAACGAACAATCATTCATGACCAAATAGATCATAGCCATTTTAAAAAAGAACCCATTCATATAAATAGATTTTCTCTCGGACAAATTTTAGTTCAAAATGCTGTTTGATCTTTACACGTTCGACTTTTCTCTTTCTTTGCCTTTTAAAAAAAAAAAATCCTTTCAATATCTGTCGTGTTAACTTGAAGGACAATCGAGACAAGAGATCCAGATTTTTCATTCTTAGACGGGCGAGGGTATATGAATAATTCATGTTCATGAGTTTTTGAAAGAAAGACCCCCCCCCCCAAAAAAAATATAAATCTGCCTTACTTGTTTTTTTTTTCATAAATGACAGCAACAGGGGTGGGGAGAAGGAAGGGAAGTTGTGGTGTCATTTATTAGTTAACTTTTTGTTTGAATATATTAACTGA